ATAGGAGAGGTGAGTGAACATAATTGGTCAGTCAGTAATTTAAATTGACGCCAGGATTGTGATGAATCCCAAAGTTGATTACAAGCCTTCTGCAACTTGAGTCCATTAACTGCCAGAATGTGCTTCGGGATTGTTCATTGAATACCTTTATAATGCTAAAAATGATTATCTCTTAATCAGATATTTTGATGAAATGGGTGAAGTAATGACCATGCTCCTTTGTGTAACAGATGTTTGTGTGGATCATAATGAATGGTTGGTATACTGGAAGCTATTTCAAGTAATTACAATAGGAAATTTTGGGCAAAAAGTTAATTAGATCATAAGAGGAAAGACCAACTGTATATCTAGCAGAGTATTTTCGATGTAGATATGGTATGAAGGTCAGTCTGTATTACAGTAATTCAAAAAGTATTTTGGGTCTCTGGTTTCACACACCATACATATAATATACACGGTAGCTAGTTGAACTAGAATTGAAAGATGGTCACTAAACTCTGATAAAAGAATGTAAACTGTTAGTAGTGAAACAAAATTTGCTGATACCTTAACAATCTCAGGAATTTTGATAGATTTTGTAAGAGTATGGAATAGAAGAGATCCAATAATATTCCAGTGTGGAAGGAAATAAACGTATTTCAAGAGATCTAATGTGACAATTAATAAAATTTATAACAATATAACTTTGGTCAATGTATAGGAAGAAATCATGAAGCAAAGGATCTCCAGTTTCAACATACATAAGAGCGAATGTTATGAAAAGAAATATAAAGTACACAGTAAGTATGAAGTGTTCAGGGTTGTGTGTTAACTAAAGTATATCTATTCGAATTGGAAAAGTAGTCCTACTACGTATTGCCACTCCACCACATTCAATGTTCATGGTATTGTCACTGTAATGTAAGTTGCAACCAGGGGTCGCAACAAAAAAAAGAGTCATTCTCCTGCATCTTTCCAAATGGTGTGTGCTTTGGAAAATATATCCACGACAGCTTAGTGTGGTGTCAATCTCAGGTTCCAGAGCGCAAGAAGAATTTAAAAGGTATTACTTTTTGATCATCTTCTTTGGGTGGTATTTTTTAGTTATTAATAAAACAAATTACAAAACAGACAATGAAACACAAGATCTTTATAGACACAAGAAAAAAAAAAGTTAAAAGCATATATAAATGATGAATAATTAACTTTCACTATAAAAAAGTAGCAGTGAAATCTATAAAAACATGAAACTTTTCATTAAAAGTACATACACCTTTCAACAAAAGAAGTGGATTAGTCTAGGTTACACACTGTTAGCTAAATAATAAAATATAAATTTAATCAAACACCAAACAGAAGCAATGACAACACTATTACTAACTGAGGCACTCTTGTTATGCATCGGTTGTATTAAACAAAAAGTTATACAATGGGCTATCTATGGTCAGTCTACCATGGGTATCAAAGCACAATTTGTAGCACCATAAGCCTACAGACTTGCTGCTGAGCCACTGAGGATCTTTGTTATATGAGGAACCATTTTAAGCATCTACATGATTGAGCAACAGTGAAACCTACAAATAGCAGATTATGAAGAAAAGATCTACAATTGTTGTCAAAGCTTTAAAAAAACTTCATGTGTGACCTTTTAATTTACATAAATTTATACCACTAATAAACACAAGTTTTAATAGCAATCAATCATACCATGTTGAATACTTTCAGGTTTCATTCAATCACCAAAGAAACCCAGAGTTTGACTCTGACAAATGAAGTATTTTTCATAAGCTCTGTATTTAACATAATTTACAAGAAGGGAAGCACTTTTAAGAAGATTTGTAGGAATTGTGCTTCATATAGTAATTTTCCATCTTCAACAAATATGTCATCTGTTTCTTCACTATCGATTACTGGATTGAACTTTGAAAGCATCATTCTTTTACATTGTGATATGCATAGTTGTCCTTATTTCAGGTAAGACTTTCATCACATGCTACATTTTGAGGTGGTTTTTAAAAAAAATTCTTGCATTTGGTACATTAAAGTATTATCATTTGTGGTTATTAACACTTGATAATAAGGAAGCTAAAGTAAAATTACTAATTACACACTGTTTTTTCATTAGTGGATTTACTTGTTATGTACAATACCTTGAAATAAGAATAGTCAGTGGTAGAGTACACTGGCTTCCTTATCAAGTACCCAGTTCTTGAACTATGGATAGTTTTCACCTGACATCATGATTTGTACCTTTACACTCATTTGTCATCTTGTGGATCAAACAAGAAACCATAGTTGTCATTTACCTTTTAGCATCATGTGGATAAAATATTATTTGATAACTATTCACTAACATGAAAGTAATCACCTTAGGTTTGTGTAGTTTATAGCTATCACAAGAGGTCCAATGATCTTCACAAGTGAAGTTTATATGCAAACTCCACTATTTGGCTAAGTAAGAAAAATCAAACTTAGTTGATGTGAGGCCCAGATGTCACCTACCTTCTTAAAATATCTTAAACTTTTGACATACAGTAAATTCTATTAAGATCATTTTGGAACAAATAAAAATTATTCTTTTTTTATATAAATATAGAGGAACTAAAGAGGGTTACTACAAGAGTTATGGTGACATGACATTTTAAACACTGTATGTGTATGCAAGCTGATCAACTAAATTATGTAAATAACTAAACAAAGGTTCTTATTATGGTAATATAAATTTTACACCTTCCATAGTGAGTAGAAGAAAATGGTTGTCAGTGTTATAGTTATGCCGCAAATATTTATTGTTAATTTTTAGGGAAGCCAGCAAACTCGTACAATACAACATGCCCAGACTGAGTACATTCAGTCAAACTAACTAACAAGTTACTTAATGATAAAAGGGCCTAATTTAGGTTAACAAAATCTTTTTCGCCCATCAAGGTACCCAGGTATGCTTGATTAATTGTTTAATTATTCATACAAACCACATAGATCTATGTAAAAACGACTAAATAATTCAACAGAAAATGTTAAGAATAGTATAAATCATTATTGAGTAAACTGATTAGTTTACAAGATGCTAATAATATAATCACTGCTTATACGTAGACAATTATATTGCCCAGCTCTGGTTTGTTTTTAATTTCATGCAAAGCTATTTGAGAGCTATCTATCCCTAATTTAGTAGTGACAGGCTAGATGGAAGGCAGCTAATCAACACCACCCACCACCAATTCTTGGGCTACTCTTTACCAAAGAAGAGTGGGTTTGACCATCACTTTATAATGCCCCCACAGCTGAAAGGGCAAGCATGTTCAGTGAAGAGGATTTGAACTCATGACCAGCAGGTGGTGAGTCGAATGCCCTAACCACCAGGCCATGCTCAGCTCTAGTTTTGACTATAGTGAATATATTTTCTGTGCTTAAAGACTAATGTTGTAATGGTGTGTTGATATACCATTACTTCAACATTTTATTTCTAAAACATTTCCAGGAGTGACTTTCTACTTTGATAAGCTTACAATAATGTGTTGGAATTAATAAGGTGTAAAATATGACCAATAAAAACACAAACAGTTGTCACACAAAATGTTAACATCCAACACTATTATTTTCTGAACTATTTCCTGTGGATCAAAAATAGGTCATCTACTGAAATAAAAACATTATTATAAACTAAGATTATGGTATGTAACTTAAAGCATAAATACATACAGCGATAACATGAGCTCACAATTTACTAACAACAACAACAGTAACTGAAAAGTAGCTTCCAGCAAAAAGTTCTGACAGTAAAATTTGAGAAAAAAAAAAGATCTTTTCTCACCAGATAATAACTTATTTATTTCAGCTAATGTTTTGCTCTTATGGCTACAACAGGGCTATTAATATATAAACTGTACTATTTGGTCACTACTAAGGACAAACTCTCACATATTAAACTTTCAACTCAGATAACTTTTCCATATTTAATTGCCTTGCCTATTTCTTAAAATTTCTATATTCTGTGCAGACTATATCAAAAATACGTCTACCTGGTGTAACACTTATCAAAACATAATTGACAAGCTATTACATAAAAAAATGTTTTAAAGATATCTCGTTTAACAATTTGTGTGGATGATGTTGTATGGCTATACACCAACAAGGAAGGAGATAAACATTTATCACACAATAGAATTACTAATCTCTAAATATTTGTTTTCAAACTTTGTAAAAAACACAGAAGTAGAAACATTGCATAATGAAAGTCATTTTTGAACAAACATAATTGTTGATAATTTTAAATTAAAAACACCATCCTTCCTCACTTAATTTTTAAAATGTGAGAAAAATGTGTATTAGAGAATTCTCTGACAATTCATTATTTTCATATAGTTAACATCCATGAACTGTCTGTGTCTCTTGTGATAAACTGCCTGAATCAGTAAACTGGATTCAAAGGGAGTGTTTAGCTATATGCAACTGACTTTTACTTAACCTTGTATTAACAAAAGTGCTGTTTACTGTAATAATGTTTTTTTGTGAACCTGGATATATTACTTATATATATTATGTTTATATACCATCTGAAAAACAGTAACAGAAATTTGTTGAGAACAAAATTTCATAATAAAACTATTTAACCCTTTCACTGTGGCAGGTACATATATGGCCTCTAAATGTTTTTTTCTGTTCACTGCATTAACTCATCAGATTCAATACTACCTACTAAATCCACAAAATAGTCCTGATTTTTTTCCCAGCTTTGACAGCTCTTGCTGACACAGTAGCAAGATTTTGTTGTATAAGCCTCTCTGACATCTTGTGGGAAACTGAGGCATAGAAGGGGGAAATAATTGACTTACTGCATGACATCATATAGCAGAATGTTGATGGACAATATTACCACAAAAATTTACAATACAACACATCTTGTGGAAAACTGAGGCATAGAAGGGGGAAATAATTGACTTACTGCATGACATCATATAGCGTGATAATATTGTCCATCAACATTCCTGTTGTATTGTAAATTTTTCATCTTGTGGGAATTCTAAAAGCAAAAACCCACATGTGTATCAGCTGCACTTAACAGAAAAAAAAATAGAGACCATACATGTATCAGCCATAGTGAATGGGTCAATAAATGAAATTTTGAAAAAACATCTTTCCTCAGGTTTGTATCCATATACAATAAAACGTGGATGATTAAATTACCTTTAAAACCATTATCTTAAGATTTTTTTATCTAAAACATTTCCAGAAGCAACTTTCCACTTTGATAAATTAGTTATAATGAGAGAGATAATGATGATGTATATTAAAGTAGAAGGTCACTTCTGAAAATGTAGAAGCAAAAAGTTATACAATTCAAATATTTTCATTTGAAGTTAGTAGTCATGTAGTTGAGGTAACTTATGTGAAAAAAGTAAATTCCAGTATGAATTTTCACACTTAAAAAATTTAAAGAGCAGCTCTAAAAGTCTAGCACTGCACCATATAAAACCTGCAACAAAAAATTTATGTTTCTTATCAAATGAGGTTATTAATACATATTTTTAACTATATATGTGCAAACATTCTGATGTTTATTTAAAAACTGTCTGGAAATGCAAATATTTTGGTAAATGCTGCACAATAGTCAACTAGAACAACACGAAATGCACATAAATCAACAAGTATTATCTACTACACACAAAATAAATGTTATTCAAAATATTTTAAAACAAACTATCAGCTATATCGTGTAAAACATAACAAAACAAAAATAATCTTTGTAGTATACAGATTAATTGCTGTTTTAGGCTAAATACATTTAAAGTAAAAGGTACCTAAACCCAGAAATTTTCGTTGTAATGAAAAAATTTGAATTTGTATATTTCTTACCTATAAATTAAGGTTTTTTTTTACAGTTAATAACAACTACACTCAGTTAACTTCTTTCTTTCTTTCACTGATTTTGTTTTGTTTTGGTTTAATTTCCTGTTAAAGGAGAAAAATTTATTCTGTGCAAAACATGCAAGTTACAAACAAAAAAGTACTTTATTGTCATTAGTTTAAATGGTTAGTTTACATATTCAAAATAAAAGTTGTAAGCCTTTTAACTACAGAGTTTTTACTGTAACACTTGAATAAATAGACAACTTTCAAACATATACTACAAAAAGACTGTACTTCCCAGCCATTGAATGTAAAGAACTGGCAATGTTGACTGCTCTTACAGAAAACATCAATGTATAATAAATAGAATATTCATTATATGCAGGTTAGTAATATCAAGCATTCAATTTTAATGTATAATAAAAAGAAAATTCATTATATGCAAGTTGGAAATATAAAACATTCACTAATAATGTATAATGAAGAGATGGTTCATAATATACAGCTTAGTAATATTTCTGATGTGAAACTTGTACAATGATCAGACCGTATATAAATGTTAAAATGATATTACTCAATTAATTCTTTACACTTATATAATACATTTCACTCTCAGCATTACAAACTGTCAAACATTTGTCAATGTTATAATTTCACCAATGTGACAATATTCATTTACAATTATCCTCATGCAAGTCTTTCAAAGTACAGAGCACTTTTTCTGTCTGTATAACATGGCTATAGAGTTCAAAAGGTGGCATCTGTAACAAGTCGCAACAAGCACCTAATAAAAGGTTAAAAGAATAGGGAAGTTTTTCTACTTCAACTTTTGAAACTTGGCGAAAAGTAACTAGACATAGGTGTTTTGTCCAGTACATTGAATGTGCACGAAAAAACTGAATCAGTTCTTCTTTGACCTCAGGGGAACTCCAAAAGTCTATGGTTTTAGCAGTTGAAGATCCATTTTTGACTATGTTGGTTATATGTTCTAGTGCTTTATCTTCCAGTGCCCTTTCCTTTTTACCCAGTTTTACTAACAAACTTTGTGTAAAAATGTGTGGACTGGTAATAAATAACACAGTAGAGTTCCTAAAGTCTTGATGGAGGGATGGATACTGAGATTTGTGGGCTAATTTCCTTTCAACAGCTAGTCTTCTTGGATATGCAGTTACAGATAAAAAAGAATGTAGTGATTTCTTCAAATAAATGCCTTTTTTGTAGCATTTGTTTTGAAGATCCTGATTTGCTTCTAATATATTACTTGGATTTTCTTCAGTTTTGTCTTTCTTTGCATTACAAAAACTGTGTAGTGAAGAATGGAATTCTGGAGAAATGGACTGATTCATTTGGGATGAAGGTTTATTCTGTTCAGTGTTAGTACAATCAGTGCTTGTTGGAGTTACTGTCTTTTTGTTTAGTCTAACAAAAGAATCTTGCAGTGCTAGATGGTATTTTCTTGAATGGCAACGATCTGAAACCAAATCACAATGTAAGTATAAAGTTTTTAAGATTATGTGAAATGTGTATAAAAGTAAACACAAGATCACTAAAAACATTTCAATGCAAGATTAACCAAGTATCCTTATAAAAACAAAATCTAGCATAATCTTCTTAATATATTCTTTCATCAGTTTTATAACACAGAATTTCTGTTATTTACAATGCATCATAATTAAAATACAACTACCTTAAAAGACAAAAATTAACCAGTACATTCCAGCCATTCCATAAAAACTAGTATCACATAGACAAGAAAATGTATGTTTTGAAATATTACTCTTTACTATCAACAGTGAAACATCGGGAACACCAAGTTTTCGTATGATGTGGTTTAAGCCAACGATGGTTTCATCTAACATCTAACAGACTGTATTCTCTATATAAGTATTCTTGGATGATGTAAGAAATCCATAAGTAATGTAAAATATGTGTACACTGCTGCACGTGCACATACACAACAACAAACATACCACCATCTGCAGATTCAAATATTTAACTCTGCCAGTAATATACAGAAGCAATCACAGGTAGAACTAAAATCTTTCTTCTGCAAGTTGCCTAATATGGATAACTAGTCATGCTACCTATTACAGTATGATCAATATACACAGAAAGAAACATAGGACAACTACAGTAAAATACTGCATTAGCCGACTACCAACAACAGAAATTACATTGTTTGCTGCTGTCACTTTTAGGTTGAAAAACCACTACTACTGTCATTGACATTGCAAAAAAAAATTAACAGAGACAAAATCCAAGGAAAGAAACAATTTTCTATTGTGATTTATCTCAGCCAGGGTTATCTCTCATGTTGTTTAAGGACCATTGCATGTCTTCCAGGGGGTTCGCTACATGCATTCCAGGTCTACAGGTCATTCACACATATACATACACACAAGTGGTTTCTCAAGTAAACACCTACCAATGTCCTTAATAACATTTTACTCAAGTGCTTAGACAGAAGAAATTCACAGACTTTCTGCACTTAAGTGCATTAGATATGGAAGCTGACATTATCAATGATTCTACCTATTAATGATTGAGATATCTTATAACATGAATCATACAAGCTGTAATTATCAAGAAGTTAATAATAAATATTTTATGGATATATATAGATAGACAGATATAAGTGTAAAATTCCATTTAATAATACAGAAAACAGATGTACAACTTTTCTTTTGGTCTTTGGTGACACTTATAACCATCCTAACTGAGGTAACCTTACAGATTTGAGGTGACCTGCTCTGCAGAAGTACCTTTCTGGAGCTCACAACAAAAAGGTTACTACTTCATTTTGGATTTTGGGCTTCATCTGTTATGTGAGGCTACAAACTGTGGTCATAAAGTTATGCTAAGAACTTAACCAGTTTCAATACCAGACACATTTCTTCAGAGATTGACAGCTTCAGTGATTTCCTAAACAGCTTAAATATTCCACAATTAGTTGATCTTTATCTGGCTTGGCACAAACAATCAGATAGTGGAGTGTTCATGGTATTTTTCTCATCATCAATTGGGTTGAGATCATGTGACACTTTGATTTTGTTATTCTGTGATTCACTCTTCTGAACCTTTGATTCTTGGTTCAGCCAGTGAACAGCATATTGAACAGTGACATATGGCTTTAGCTTGCTAACATGTATATCATGCAATTGCACACCACTTAATTACTGCAGCTCACAACATAATGGACAGAACTATCTAAAAATAAAACAGAGATCAATATAACCAGAACTGAGTTGTACCAAAGCCATATTCAGTTTCCAGTTCAAATTTACATTTCTTTACTCTCTTGATGACTGACTGCTTCATAACCGTTTGCTGATGCATAGGGTCTACATATTGTTGTGGACATCATGGCACATCAGCACTTATGGGCAATCACAGAAGAAACACCTTTTATTATAATTTTATAATGAAATTATGAACATATTAAAACATAACACAACAAATAAACAACAACTATGAAAGGGTCAGATTTTCATACTATAGTGGCAGATTTTCCTGATCCAAAGCAGTGACTTCAAATTTATTAAATTTGATATAATTAAAGCAGTAATAAGGCAAAAGAATAATGAAAGTTCACCAACTTGAAGTTTTCTTGGTAGCAGGTTCAGGAGGATGCCACTTTGAAGATACACATTGATAAAAGGCAAAGAATTCATCCACATCTATAATCTTGTCAGTGTTCCTAAAAAACAGATGTAGATTGTTGAAAGTACAACTCATATTTTGTTGTTTTATGATCAATAAAGAAAACAACCATTTATGTTATTTATTATGCTACTGTTACAGTATTCATTTCAGGTTTCAATTTTGATAGGCCATAAAACCCACCAATGACCATTTTGGTTGGTCAATATGTAGAAAATGTGGGCCATGATGGAAAGCACATACTTTATTAATAACTACTACTTAAAGAATTCAACTTATGTTATCATTTATATCACTTGCAGCTGTTATTGGCTTTCAACATTCAAGCTTATTTTTTCAAATAAAAAAATGTGTGCAATACTAAAGAAATAAGGAAATTCAGCAACAGTTGAAATCCATGAAAATGGAATTTATAAACTGGGGAAACCAATCTGTTAAACCAAAACTTAGAAACATTTTGTATATCATTTGAATTATTCACTTATAAACCTTAGTAGCCAATGAACCTATGCAATGTACGGTGAGAGGTTTTTTTGCTATAAAATTTTATTGTTGTTTTTGCTTTATGCAAAGCAGTTTTTAATCTTATTACCTCATCTTCTTGGTTACTGTTTGTAAATAGACAATAATATTGTTGTTCTTTTTACAACCAATTATAACATTCTTTTGATCTTGCATTTTCAATGGTGGCTAATTAATGTTATAGCAAACATATGACTTGGAAACAAAATCTCAAACATCTCACTTAATACAACTGTGTCTATCTTGACACAATGATATAGGATGACATGAGGAACGTCATAAAGGGTGGGGGTTTGACCTCCCCATCTTCTATATAAATAGATGTCAATACGTGTATGTATCTGTTCCTTATACATTTCCACATTTCTTGATCAATCAGCACCCAACATGACACAGCAATAAAGGATGACATGAGGAAGGTCATGAGGGGTTACTCCCCATCTAATTTCATACTGAGAGAATTCTTGAAAACAGTACGTCTTTCTTTTCAGTATTAGTATCCTTATGTGTTTTTATTAATGTTTATTATGCGTGTCTGTGATATTTTATACTTGCATTAGATTACAGATAATTAGAAACTTAGCAAAAACACAAAACTTAGCAGGAAGACCTCTATAACATGTGAAAACAACAGCAAATTGAAAAGTTAACATCAAATGCAAGTTAAACTTATTGAGATTTGTAATATTCTAGTTGTGTGTCAGGGTTTTAAGTATGTGTGGGCTGGGATTCTTCTACAATAAGTGAATAGCTGGTGATACATTTGGACAGTGCACAATCCATTTATTTTAAGATAATATATATTCAAAACAAGTCAAACATATGTAAAAAAAATTCTTTACACTATAGAATATCACACTTGTATCTAACACTAAATAATTCTCTTTTCTTGTCAAAAGTCCACACAGGCTAATTCAATCACTTTAGAATCCAATTGAAAAGACAAATTATTTTTCTCTTATCACAGTAGTATCAGTGGATAATTCACTTATGTTACACTGTGGGTTACTGCAGTTGTATCCTGAACCTTAAATAATTGTCTCCTTTTCATCAAATTTCACACAGGCAGGTTCAATTATTTTAGAACACCCTTTGATAAGACAAATTATTCTCCTTATCTCTGTTAAACTGTGAAACTCACTTTAATATTACTTCACTTTCACTAACTTAACACATTCTGACTTCGCTTTACTTTTGTTGGTTACCACAGTTGCATCCAGAGCTTAAATTAATTGTTTCTTTTTTTTTTCTCGAGAATCCACACAGGCTGGTTCAGTTACTTTAGAACCCAATTGACAAGACAAATTATTTTTCCTATCTCTGTTATTACAATACAGCTGTGAAACATACTATAGAAACCGCCCGTTAAAGTTAATCATTCACACACCAGTTAAGTTTATGTTTTCTTTCACTAACCAAATATTTTCTATCTTAACTGAAATTTACTTCACCTTTTCTCTTACTGAACTTATGCTTGCTAGTCTCCTATAAACATACCTTGTTCACTGAGGCCCTGGGTGATGCTATAATGTAACAGTACTCACTTAATGTAATGAGAAAAATACTGATGATTCGAGTAACTTGGCACCGACAATACTAGAACAAATGAATTGCACACACTCAACGTACGACTCTTAATGAGTTATGAAACCAAACTTGTAATAACTATCGCCTTTAAAATAATTACTTTTAACTCTCTTGTTATGAAAAGTAAATAATCATTAAATATTAAATCATCAAATATGCTAAATAATAACTCTTAAAACTAAATAGTCTTGTATATCCAACATTGTGTATGTGCATACTGTAATTATGTATGTTCATGTAAAAGTTTACTGTCAATTTTAAAACTAAAAAATACTGTTCAGGTGAATGCATTTACTAACAAATTATTTTCTCTTATAATATTATGAAAGAATATATTAGCCTTCTATGTCACAGATTAAATTTTCAGCTTTACTTTTGGTGAAATAAAAGTGTAATATTATCAAATACCAGTATCACAAAGTTTAATTCAGTGATATAGAACACCTAACTGGAAGAAGAGGTCTACCAAAAGGTATCAGATTAAAAGATGTCAGAGCCTAAACAGCAACGTTTTATAGCATAACCCTTTCGAGATGGGTCACAGCTGAAAGGCCATGACATCTTATTTGTTGACTTGTATTCAAAATTTTATTAAACTACTATTTCATGAATTTATGTCAATAAATTTGGTATCAAACTGTAGATTGTAATTCAAATTTTAGTATTATACATTAATCAATTTCTTAATTTAAAAGTAAAAAAACAAACAAAAAAAACAGATAAACATCGATTTTTGTGTGTCACGTAATATGTTGAATGCAGCACTGGTTCAAATTACCGATATTCACAAGATAGAATATAAATTACGATATTGCACATGTAATAAATCAAATACAGTGGCACCCTGCCCAATTCTTTGCATTTTTGGCAATGCTCCCTTATATATAATTACTTCTATATATGACATGAATAACCAATCGGAAGCTCAGAATATCCCCCTAGTGGCTTTTTCAGCCATTTCTTTTTTTGAACCAATATTCAAGGAGGTAGGGTGTGTTTTTAGTCTGCTCGAAATTTCACATTTGTTTAGACTAAAATACATCTTAGTTACTAAGCTGGTACTGACGTAGTTATTCAAACATCTGTATAAAACCTAAAAAAAAATATTTTGTTTCATACCCTCCACATGCAAAACTTTTAAAGGCTTAGCAACCTACGTAAAGCAGCAATCTAGTACAAATGTCATAACTAGAAAACATAATTGTTTGCTTTACTTCTGTGTTTACTGTTCTATGTTTTAAGAAAAATAAGTTTAAGAACTTATTTCTAAATAGCAATAATCTATATACATATATAATGTATAATAATTAAAATATGACTGTATTTTACAAAATACAAGTTTACTAAAACAAATCCAAGACAAATTACTTTGTACAGACCAAAGGTCAGTTTTATGTTATTTGATACGGAAACATGAGTGCACATGAGCCGCGTCATTGTAACTTCTGTTTTGTTAGCCAGGCATGACTGAAAGATCAATATAATAAAAATAATAAATATATATATATGTATAATGTTATGAAATTTAAGCTATTTAGTCTAAACATTTATGTTTTCATGTTCATTTTAGAATGAAAGAGGCATAATTTATATTTATTTCCTAGTTTTTTATCGTGGTTACGAGATCGGTGAAATCTACTGAACCAGTTCAGAGATTAATTACTGAAAATAACAGATAAAATAAAATTTTTTCTTAAGAAACATTTGATAACTATCTGGACATTATAAAGATTTTGCATGTGAAATTTGAAAATTTTCTGATGCATAAAAGTATTTTTAATCTTAAAATAAAAATTACTTTGCATGACAGATAGGAAACATGCAAAAGAAAAAAAGGCATGAGAAAAACAATGCTTTATAAACCTTAAGACTTAATTAAAAAAATTTTATAGTTTTGGGTATCAAAGCACTGTAACGTTTACTGATAATCTGCCAAATTTCATTAACATTCATTTACTAATTTAAAAATTATAGCATGAAAATTATAACAAGCACAAAACGGTTATGAGTTCAGTCCCAGTGACCGAGCCCATGCTGAAAAGGTTAAAATTTCTTTAAAAAGGGGGAAAATATTGAAATTTGAAACCATTTTATCACTCATCAGGGTTGGTAAACAAACATCATAGCAAAACCACTGAATCAACATTTTATACCTTGATGAAGTCTTTTTTTTGCTAACTTTACAGATTATTTTACCTTATTATTTCCTCTAGTTTTAATAATTTATTGTTTGAATTCTCTTATAATGTTATAGATCTGTTGGATTATTTAAGCATCACACTCTAGTATTTCATGAAAAACAAGATTTTTTGTGTACATTTTGTCATCACTTGCAAGTAGTCATTGGTTCAAATTTGGACTTGTATATATATTTTGATGTTATGTTCAAATCTGCTTCTTGATAAAATCTTATACAATAGACCATGTGAAAAAAAAACTGGTTCTGGAAGAAATATTCTTACATGGTCAAATGTCTGATCCTGCTATTTATTAACTGTGATGTCAGAGGTAAAGAATTGGAGGGGCAAAGACAAGTATGTAAAGATATAACATTCCATACAAAATGGTTATACAATGTTTTACTAAATTTTTAAATAACTCTTTTCAAAGGTGAAAAAACACCAAGAATAATATATTGTGGCATTGTCTATTGATTTTTAAATATATTTAAGTTGTATTTCACACAGACAGACATTGGTGTTTATATATACAATATTTTTTTTACCTTACGAGTCTTTGTAACTTGATGATTCTTACCTTTTATCTTACAACATATTACTATGTGATCCTGGTCCTCACCATACTTACCTAACAAATATTAAGTTAAAGTACTGTTGCCATTTACTACCTGATATGCTAGACATTATTAAACTAGGACACCATAAAACAAATCTTACGGGAAACAAAAAGTGGTGTATCTGGAGCTCAGAAACACATTTCTTGTATCAATATACTGCATCCAGTCTTCAAAGGAGAAAATGTTTACATCTGAAATCGAGGTTAACAAAATATTAATAACAATTGATAAACAGCACTTTCAATTTATTTTAATGGAAAATGTTTTGTAGGTTTCATAACATTATTTTACACAGATGTATCACTTTTTTTTCTTGTATTTGTTAACCAAATGCCAAATTTTACTTCAGAACGCATTACATTTTTATTTCCATTGATAACAGAAGACCCCTGTGAAGCATATTATGTTTGAAAAGAATTACACCAAAACAAAAGATTAATATTTGAACATATAAATTATTATAAAATATATATTTTGTAAGAAAGCTCATTTCATCAAGTTGTGGTAACTACGTTTTTTAAGTTGCTAAGATAAGAAGTTAGTTTAAGTATTCTTTTCAAGTAGCAGATTAAATTTTGTTTAATATGAAAAAAAGTTTTGTAAATGAAATGTTGCAGCATCTTTTAAGAAACAATGTCAGGAGTTAGAGAATTTCAAAGAAACAATGAAAGCAGTTTCAAAATCTTAAAGAGTGTGTCAGGAATTACCAAATCTTAAAGAAACAGTGTCAAGAGTTACAGCATCTTAATGAAACAATATCAGGAATAACAGCATCTAAAAGAACAATATCAGGAGTTACAAAATCTTAAGGGGACATCATCAGAAGTTGCAGCATCTTATAGAAGATCAAGAGTTACAGAATTAAAAAAAAAACATTGTTAGAAGTTACAGATTCTTGAAAATAAAAAGTGATCAGGAAGCAGCAACATATTCAAAAAACAATGTCAGAAGTTGTAGCATTTTAACCATCTCGCTACAGGCTTGGTCGAATCAGCTGAGCTTGTGACCACAAACTGACCTTTATAGTTTTAATACTATAACTTCTAATATGTTCTGTGTATCTTCATGAAGCAAGCTATCAGTAACTGTTAAACATTACAAGTCGTTCATAGACAAAAAAATCAGACATTTTAATGAAGTATTTTCACTAAAAACTTCTCTGTGAATATATGAAGTTAAAGTGTTGACATCACGGGCACCCTTCTTACTGCATTAAAATGCTTTCTATAGCAAGATGCCTGTAATATCAAAAATGAAGCACACAAAGCTGGAATCGATACTGAACATACTAAATTTCTGAATTTTAAGGCTGATGCAATAAACATCATAAGTGATAGAATATTGATCATCCTTCTGGGATATTTGGAATTTAGCAGTATACTACACAGGCATACAAAGATATCTGTGCACATACTTATAAAATCCTATTTCCCTCCCTTTCAGTAAACTTATTCATCTACCAATAAATACTCTTTATTCACATATGCTTAAATTTTAGTTATTTGTATTAAAACATAGAAGAATAAATAAAAAATACTTTGATAAACAAAGATTTTGAGTACTTAGTATTATGAGTAATAGTAAATTATTTAATAAAATTTAAAAACTAACTTTTTAAAAGGTCACGACATGTGCACTTTAACCTGCCCGCTTTTTCGAGTGCCTGTATAGAGAACATGACTAAAGTCAATGCCATTAATCCGGAATATCAAGACACCTGCTATTGCAAGATATATTTTGGTTATAAATAGTAGAAAAAGAAAGATACTGAAAAGGTCTGCCTTTATTGGTGCAATGCCCGTTGTTTTGAAGCAAAGTAATTAAAACTCGGATAACATAAAAATTCAAATTATAGCATACATTATAACGTTTATTTAAATAAACAAGAAGAGAGGCTACAGCAGAGGTTGGAGGAGAAAAACATGAAAAAGAAGAGAGACTACAGCAGTGGTTGGAGGAGAAAGAAAATAAACAAGAAGAAAGTCTCCAACAGTTGAGAGAAAGCTATCATACACAAATGGAAAAGATTAGTAAATTTCAAAGTGAATTAAATACATTAAAGGACAATTTACTGTCTTTTACACAGGGAGGATATATTAACTATGGACCTAAGCAGCCCCTTACAGACCCCGCAGCTAAACTCTAATGCAGACATTTTCAGTCCTGCCAGAAGTCACATTCCAGACACGAGTGTCAGCAATAGGGGTGATCTAGTACGCAGAAAGCCACAGGAATTTGATGGGAAGGCACCATGGGAAGCATATAGAGCACAATTTGAGCTCCTGGAAGAAATGAATGGATGGACAGAGAAGCAGAAAGCAGTGTACCTGGCAACGAGCCTGAAGGGACAACCACTGGACGTCAGGCACAACTATAGAGCACTGATAGCTGCTCTAGAAATCAGGTGAG